CCGCCGGAGAAAGTCTTCCCGGCACGGTCGTAAAGGGATTTAAGGTTGTCAATCCCTTCGTACATCTCACTAGAGATGCGTACGCGCCACCACGGGCTATTAGGGAGGAAAGCTTCCTTAGGTGCTCGCGCAGAGTTGTTCACACAACATGGGCACGAGTCTCCCCAAGAGAGGCAGGGTAATCCTTTCTCCCTTGACAGACGATGCAGCTTGTAGCGTGCACCTGTCGGGGTTCGCTTTTCAAACTTATCACGAGCTTTGATAAGTTTGTCGTTCCAAGCGTCACGACCTACATCCTCGAGGTAATGGATGTAGGCGTTCCACGATAGAAGTTGTGAGGGGCCATCACTCTTGTAATTCCCACTGTACCATCGATGTCTGAAGAAAGCATCGATGAAGAACTCATTCTCAGCGCGATAGTTTTTCGCACTGGGGTCAAGGTGATGGATCCTTGACGAATCGAACAACCGTGTTCGATAGCGATCACTCGTCGTCGCCGACAAGTGATCCATGACTAATTTTGGAGGCATCCATGCCTTCTTCTCAGGAGCGAGACGCAAGACATTGCGGTCCCGCTCTTCTTGCGATGTACCGACAGAAGTACTGGTACCTCGCTGCGAAGTGGTGTCAATAGGAGAACCGACACCACTATGAGCGCCCGAGTCTTGCGATCTCAAGCGCCTTCGCTTCGGTGATGGTTCATCTGATTCGTCAGATGAAGCAAAGATGCAACGACGCATAGCATCATCCATGCCACGCTTGGCAGGCGGCTTGGATTCGATCGCCGTCGATGCAGATCCATCTTCCGTATCAGGAGAGTATGAGACACTGAGCTCATACTCTGTGAAGACATGAGTGTCTTCATGACCAGCGCCTGCATCACCAAGTGACACAGGCTGAGTCGCTTCAGCAACCGACGAGACATCAGTCGCTGTGGTTTCTGCTTCGGCGTCCGCACAGAGACGTGCGGACGCGCTCGGCGGCCTTGCTCGCGCATCGCATGGGCTTGTTAACCATGCGATGAGATGTTGGAAAAAGGACTCGGACCAACAATTGCAAACCCTGTCCCATCTGATTTGGGACGAGTATCCATTTAGTCAATCAGTCACTAAAGTGACTGATGGTTAAGGGAGGGGTGATGTAACGGGATGAATCGTTACATAACAATTTATAAGAAATTGTTAATAGAATATAACTTTAAGAGTTATCTTCTCAGAATATTGTCATAAGGACAAATATTCTGCAGCACTTACGAGTAGTTCCTAATTGGTTGATATAGGCCATTATATCAACCAACGAAGACGCGCCACGACAGACGCACGCAATGAGTGGTGAGCAGATAGTTGATGTACACATTTGTATTTAGACATAGTTAGATGAGGACAAACAGTGGTTTATTAACAGACATTAACTATTATAAATACAGTTCTACTTAAACCAAGTACTCGCTTCTTCTTACCGTCTTCCTCTGCACGTACGAGTGTATGTTAAGATCCGAAGCACCGCCTCATTCTGTCGTCAGAATGAGTAGCTTGTACAGTCACCAGTACAAGCTTCAGGGTGCCCCGTTACACACGTACCTTCATCCTGCTTGTCCCCTTCATCCAACCACCAAACATTGTGGTAGAACTCACGGACATAGGGATGCAAGTAAAGCGACTTTGCGCACGTGGCGGCTTGTACTCTTCATTCAGCGACAGAATCTTGTGGTAGAGCGCACGGACATCTGGATGCAAGTAAACCGACTTTGCGCGCGTGGCGTTTCCCATTCAGATACTCCTGTGTCGCTCAAAGGTCCATTTCATGAGCAGCCACAAGCCAACACAAGGTCACCTCCACACTGCGTCCCATGCCTCCGCCTTTGTCTCTACACAGGTGCCGGAAGCTGGTTGCACAGTGTAGTGGCCTTCTAAACTGTGATCTTGTGCAATCGTACTATCGACCGTACCACAAGTGAGGACATCGAACTTACTCGTAGTACATCCACACGCTTGTGGACGCTCCAAGACGTTCATCAGATGGCCATCTGATGAACAAACGGCAGTCATCTTCAAGGATCGATGCTGCCAGCTGATCCATGGCTGGTAATTTCCAATCTACGGCAGACAGAGGATGACATCGAATTTATTATCCAAATCTAATACGATAAAGTCAACGTCGTACTGCTTTCCCACTACACGTTTGTTCACTGTCAAGGATGTGCCTGTAGCAAGGCACACCTTCATACCCGTTAGAGGAAGATCTCGCTCAACATAGTTGGGCTACTATCCTCTAGCGACTGGTGTCTAATAAAACTGTTGGACTCCCCACAGTCAACTAGGGCGCGAAGTGACATTCTAATTTTCACCTCGATCTTCATTGTGATGAGAGACACCTCATCACTAGGAGCCGTGCCACACAGTCACTGTGTGTTGGGAGCAATCTTCGTCAAGAGTCCTGCAAATTCTCTGGACATTGCTGGATCAGCAGGGTGCTCCGCCCCTACTGACCCTGACCGTATTTTGGTGGTCCGACTTGCTGTTGCGGCTTAGCGACATGGTCGGAACCACGCCTTGGACCTGTCATCGTCCAACGGTGGTCATCACGTCCTGTCTTCGGACGTGATGCGGTGCTTGGAGCACTACACTCAGGAGAGTAGTGTTCGATCTTCTGACACCGATGGCATCTTGCCGTTCGCTTGTGACTCAGAGAGCGAGAGTTCTCACTCTTGATATAAAAGAGGTCCATATGTTTAGGACTCCTGTTTCTTGTCCTCTCCTTGGACGATAGTTTGACGAGTTAGCCTGAGACTGTCTCAGGCAAAATTCTTCTTGTTCCGCACACGCTATCGCCTTTTTCAGTGTGTGGAAGTTCTCTTGGAGCATGCAGATTTTCACCGGTCAATCTTTAAGGCCGTAGATTGGATGCGTTGATGAGCGTGTGATCATTAACAGGGTTTTCCGTGACGCTACTTGCAAGGTAGCGCAGGTGCTGTGCGTAAGCGTGCACATCACGCTTATCTTGTTTGAAACTTAGGAGTGCAGATCGTGCTCTGAAATCGGCTCCTTGATGGCTCACACGTTTCTTTGAGCCAAGACTTCAAGACCATCGACGATTCAAACGCGTTTGGGTTGTGAAGCTTGAGCCCTGAAGCCCAAGTCTTTGCTCGTCCTGTCAAATTTGACAGGGAAAACGAAACTTTCATCTTGTCACCCTGGGTATGATGGGCCCTGATGGCGTCGTCTTACTCGACGAACCATTTAAGTGGAATCTTCATCGTTTTATGTGTACCTTGAGATGTCTGTATTCAAGTTTTTGGGTCAACGCACATGCGTCGGCCCGCCCAGCGACTGATGAGAGCCTTGCTGTTGTAGCAAGGCTATCTTCTGTCTTTGGACGGCAAGAAATGCGCGCATAAACTCATTGATAGCAGCATGTTGCTGTTATCTACTTAGAGACTCCAACATGCCACTGATAGCGGGTTCGCCCATGAGCACACTCATGCGGCCGACTACCTCCCATTCTGAGTCACTTAGATGGGAGTAGCCTTCACGTGTGACGTGAAAGCTGTCTTCTTCTACGTCGAGCGTGTTCATGTTAGACGGACACTTAAGAGTCGTTGGATGGACTACGAAGTGCTACCAGGTGTAACGGGACACCCTTTGTTTGGGGTGGAGCGAAACTTCACGTACACTAGTAAGTACAGAGAAGGCTAATCTACGCAAACAGCTTGTTCGAGTAAACGTACCATAAGAACTGTTTCCAATGTAGTTAAGCTATTAATATAACTTCAGTAGTTATCTGGCTCCATGAATCTACATTGTCGTTTGAAGACAACCTGCTCACCACTCATTTCGCGCGTTTAGCAGCGACTGTTGGTAACCTTGTTTGTTATGTCTCCATGAACTATTCTCCGGCCAGCACAATCTTGTATGTTAGAATATAATATTATTTTGGTATTACCCATTTCGGGTAATATTAGCAGGATGATGTCAAGCTGGACAATCCATCTATCGACACAGTTCGGTGTTAAGTTCACGTAACAAGCTATACCGTTATATGCCCGTATACTTTGGCGAGCGTAAAGGTTGTGCGCCTTCATCAGTGCAACTTTCCAACGTGGCTACTGTAGTTTCCATTGGTTAAAGTGTGCGTTTGCTTTGACGACAAGCATGGTGGGGGGTATGCCTCCATTAGTGCAACATACGGACAGGTATGGAGTGATCCCTGTTGAATTGAATTTGTACACCTACGTGGCAAGCATGAAAAAGGTACGCCTTCATCACTGCACCTCCCATTGTGGCTGTTGTGCGACTAGTCGAATAGATTGTGTCCGCCATGGAGGCAAGCATACTACAGGACACACTTCTAAGAATGTAATCTACCCTTAAGATAATTGTCCGACCCGTAACTAGAGTTCGTCTGCGAATGCCCTAAGCATGGTGCGATACAGACCTTTACAAGTGCTACTTAACCTTGTGACAGCTATGCTACATGTCAAACAGTTTGCTCTCTCCGTGGCGCCAAGCGTAGTGCGGGATACGCCTTCATTGGTGCAACCGCCAAACATGGCAGCTGTAGTCTTTATGGATAGAGCGTGCGTCTGCCAATACAACAAGCGTGTTGCGGGGTACGTCTCCATCAGTGCAACATCCCGACAGGGCTGTAGTTATCCCAGTCGATCGAATGTCTCCGCCGATATGGCAAGCGTTAACGTGGGCGAATACCCGATATGAGTGTGCGTCTGCTTAGACGACAAGCGTGGTGCGGGTTACGCCTCCACCAGTGCAACATCTCGACAGGGCTGTAGAAATCCCCTTTATCCATAGTGTGTCCGCCGAGATGGCAAGCGTCAAGAAGGGACGCCTTCTTCGTTGAAACATCATCGTTGCTGCTGTAGTCTCCGTTGGATAGACAGTGCGTCTGCTTCGACGACAAGTGAGGAGCGATGTACGCCTCCACCAGTGCAACATTCCGACAGAGCTGTGGCAATCCTTGTTGACCAGAACGTGTCCGCCGAGATGGCAAGCGTGAAGGAGGGACGCCTTCATCGGTGGAACATCATCATCGTGGCTGCTGAAGTCCCCGTTGATTTGAGTGTGCGTCTACTTAGACGACATGCGTGGTGCAGGACACGCCTCTATCAGTGCAACACGATAACGTTGCTGCTGTAGTCTACGTTGGATGGAGTGTGCGTCGACTCAGACGAAAAGCGTGGTGCGGGGTACGCCTCCACCAGTGCAACATTCCGACAGAGCTGTGGCAATCCCCGTTGACCAGAATGTGTCCGCCGAGATGGCAAACGTGAAGGAGGGACGCCTTCATCGGTGCAACATCCTATCGTGGCTGCTATGCGACTCTTCAATATAGTGCGTCCCTTGAAGCCTCAAGCGTGGTACGTGATACACCCCCATCAGTGCAACATCCTGACATGGATGTTGTGCGACCCGTCCATTCGATATGTTATTCAAGGCTTTAATTGTAAAGAGGGTACGCCTTTGTCGAAACAACCATGAAACGTGGCTGCTATAATCTTCGTTGATTGTGTAGCCTTCGCCTAACCGGCAAAATGTGACGCGGGTACGTAATAATCAGTACAACATCCATCCCATCTCGGCTGTTGTGATCAGTGTGGATCAGACTGTGCGTCCGCTTGAAGAACAAACGTGGTGCAGGGAACCCCTCCAGTAGTCAGCAATTATCGCTATTCTACTGTTCGCGCGATTGAGGGCCGCCTGGTCGACCCTTTCTACTCCTTTGTCCACCATTTGTCTACAATTCACGTCAAATCATGCTAACAAACGGGCAAAGTGTTGATCAGCTGGAGCGAGAGGGAGAAATTTGAGCAAATTAAATATTAAAAATTAATTATGATACGAATCGCTGATCAGCGCCCTGATTTATAGTAAAAGCATACCAACTGGAAGCTATAGATGGAGTACAACGCCGTTATTCACATTTGTGACAAGAGGCAGACACGCATAAAATTACCACTCCTACTTAAGGAATGTCAATCCATACATGAATCACGATAACCTGATGGTCAGAGGGGAAGTACCGCGTATAATTACGTATTTGTGAAAAGATAGAGGCTCCAAAAGTGCCACACAAAATCTCTAGAGATTGTAATTCGGTCAAGTAAAGATAGTATCATGGTAAAATGAAAGTACCGAGTAGATAATAGTACGTGACAACAGACAGAGACGTCAAAAGTGATTTGTAAAACTGAGACGATTGATACATACGAATAAAGATGTCATGACGGTAAGAGGGGAAGTACCGCTCGTACGTGAAGATTTGTGAAAAGAGGCAGAGACGTCAAAAGTGCCATTCTAAACGGTGGATATCTATACATAGTCACACCAACGTGTAATGAAGGTAACAGATGCCGTGCCGTTCGTAAATTATCGTTTGCGAGAAGAAACAGTGACAAGATAAAATGACAAAACTAAAAGAAAATTCTAACGCATACTCTAAACAAGATAATGACGACGTAAAAGGTAGAGTTATGTGTTTAGAGTGCGACATGATAAGCGTTAAGCTCTAAGCTTTGCGAGCCTAAAGAGTGAAGCTATAAGTAAGTTTGCGCAAGGCTATGTGCAGAGCTGTTAAGTCGTACTTATCTGTGTGTCTATAAATGACGCGGTTGGGTGTATATTGCTAGTTTTAAATGCGATCTAGCCTTTACCTCCTCATAGTCGATTGACATGATAGGTGTCATTCAATGACGGGGCTGATATTGTGAAGCACGCATTTGCTTGGCTTAAATCGATGAAAAGGTGAATAATGTCACAAAAGCTAGAACTGGACGCTTATAAGTAAAGGCCGATCGCGCTGCCCTAGCTAATTGTACTGAGCAAATGCATACATTGATAGCATCATACTCATCCTTCAGTAGCTACAATTGTATAGTCTTTTTAAGAATTTATTTCCTTCTCCGAACTGAATTGCTTATATCAAGGGGAGAGCTACATAGCGCGCTCTACTATCTTAATTAGTGATAGAAGTTCGATCCAGATAAAGTGGATCAGCAACTACAGGCTCCTCTTGTTAATCGTGCTTTCCTCCGTCCTTTTTATACACTCTTGTGTTTTTCTTCAAGCTGGATACCTTCACACGCTCACTCACAGTCACGGTGTCGACCACGATTTTCAATGTTGGGCTAAGCTGGCGCATAACGAGTAAAGCAGAAGCGCGCACAATTGTGTAAGGTACCGTCTAGCCACAATGATGGGTTGTAAGGCTGCGCGCTTCTCCTTAATTGGAGGTACTAAAGTATGATGGTGGCACTCTTCGCGCAAACACACACGATCCGCGGTCTTTCGGCACTAGCATCAATACGAGAAGCAAAACTAGTAGCATCAGTGAAAGAAGCGCCAGTAGCACCAGTAATAACGATACACGCAGCGGGTGCTGAAGAAGTCGGGATATGGAAGAAGATTTCGAATCCAGCGCGAATTAATCGTACAGAATGCAGATTGAAGCAGTAATTGTGCGTGACCCTGTATTTCGCGTATAAACAAACCCCGTTTGTCGTCGAGGTAGCCACATATCGCATGATGCAAATAAAATCTGAGGTTGCAAAGCTCTTCCTTTAGGTAGATCTTGCAATCTCTGTGTAACGCTCATCATGAATAGGGTCGTGATCTTGCAATCTTTATGTAGCATTCATCATACATGGAATCGTCGACTTCTTACTCCTTGATTAAGTCCAGGATTTTACTAGCAAGCCCTTTGAGATCGAAGCCCACAAACAACTAGGACCAAATTTCATTCTTCAGTTGCGGAGGATGATTTTGGTAGTTGCCTCTTCCTGCGCTACTGAACATACATAAGCATGACGATATTATAATAAGATTTGACTGTCTGTGGTCACGCTTTACGTTGGTATGCGTAACTTGAGTTTTATCAGCTTCAGTTAACCTTCGTAGAAGTAGAATTAACACAGCGTTCGTACCGGCCTATTCTTGTACCACGTCCAAAAAATTTGTCTCGCATCGTGAATGGAGAGGAGGTACATGGTGACATTAATCGGCCATTATCTTCGACTGGTATAAAGTGCGAAATTTACAGGAATAGCACAATGCTCGCGTGTTTAAATTTATCTTTTCAAGCGCCATGGCTGACGCGCTTCCCAACGAGTGCGTCCATCGCTCAAGATTTGAAACATGTTGGAAGTGCTTCCTCATGCCGCTCGCGAACTTTGCCGCAGAAAACGAATACTTTCGGACTTTTTGTTACGTGATGAGCGACCACAAGTGCTCTAGCCGTTTAATTTCTAAGGTTTTTTTTAATCTGATTTTACGTTGCTAGTTGTGCCTCTTTTTGGTCACAATATTTGTAGCCGAGCTACACAGCTCCCTAAGTCAATGCAAGACTTAAAGCTCAACGAGCAACTTAGCTCCAAAGATTTAGACTCAATGAGTCAACAAGCGTGTAGCTACTGGTCCTTGTTCCAGGCGCCAAACGATTCAATGAATTAACAGCAGATAATGCTCAATAGTGACTAGCTACCTCACAGAGGTGTTGCTAACTCTTAGTGATCAGCAATCAACGACCAAAGACGCCTCGCAAGGCACGCGTCCTTAAGATAAACAGGGAAACTGAACTTATTAACATTTGCACCTATAGAATTTCTTAATCATATCTAGACAACTATATCCTAAGTTAATACAACTAAGATCTCGTTATCTGGTGGCTGACACCAGTCAGCCCCTATAAACCGATAGAATATTCTACATCTCTTTCAGTGGGATATCATCTGTGTGTCTAAGACACAGGGTACCAAGTACCCAGCTACGTGTAACCCCTTAACACCCTCCTCCACCATACTGACGTTTCCCAAAACGTCAATCGAACCTTGTCCCAATCAAACGTTTCCATCGAACTTTGTTTTCCCACGAGGCCAGTGCATTTAAGTTTAACCCTAGGGTAACGTAAAGCTTAGCACGATGTCCTCACTATCTAACGAGTCAAAGATTCTCAGTAATTATCATAAAATAGGGAGATTTTGGACTATGGTAGCAGTACCAGTGTCACGGGTGCTGCAGGGACAATTTACGACACCCCTATGTCTGAGGTACAACCTCGTACTGTCCCCTGTCCGTTTTCTGATCGTGATGATGAGAATTCGCCATTGGTTCCGCGCTCAACACCCGGTTCGGATGATTTTATCATCACGAACTAGCTCGATAAGCAGCAATGCTATTTATTTAATAAGAAGAAAGTGCTCGTCGCCATGCAAATTGGTCACGACCCTCGAGCACCAACGTGACAATGTTTTCACTTCACCCAGTGTGGAGGAACGCTTATTTCAAGCGGCCGTCCAATTGTTGGCAACATGGATCATTGACCATAGGTTTAAGTCTTCTGCAGAGTGGCGAGCGTCCAGGCACTTTGCGAGAGATACCTGGGGCCACACCTAACAACCCAAGGTCAATTCAAGGCACAACTTGACATTCAAGCACGTAGTGCTCCGGTCCTACCGGTCAAGGGTATACCATTCTTATTTTTGCAGGCCAAACAAAGAGCGAAGAAGACACTCCCTTTGTTCGCTGGGTACAACGCATACGTCGTCTCAAAGATCCAGTGCCAATTTGGCTAAGGTGCGTCTCGAACGCAATCTCCGGAACATCTATGCCAAGCTTAAGGCCAGAGGAAAATTGCGTAATTTCACGCAATTTGCTTTGGCTGATACAAGAGACGCGAGTGTTGGTCGATCGATGACCACCAACCCGCCAACCCACACCGGGAGTGGTGGGAAACGGCCTCGGTCTCAAGATGACCTTAGCCACGATGTTCAAAGACATCCAAAGCGTAAGGGCAATCTTGCCGTAGGGGTACCTCGCATTCCCATGTGTTCTCAGACTCAGAGTACCCACGCCACTTTACCAGATACTGGTATTGGCCATGAAGACGACGTCGTCTCAGTAGTCTCCGGATCAGAAACTGAAGACACCCATGCCTATCGATCAGCGTCGGTGGTGGCCGGTGTTCCGGTGGCAGTCCACGAGAAATTGGTTTTCCAAGTGAAGGGTCTTCAAGAGACCCTGAAGAAGACCTATTGCATGCTTGATGCGATGCAGAGCCGCCTTCAGGCTATGGAGCGAGCTCAAACTCGGAGCGAAGCTCAGTTGGACTTTCTTATTCGCTTGCAGCAAACCGGGTCACCGCCCTCTTCGTCGGCGCCAGTGCCTTAAAGTCCACATGGGAAAAATACCGGTACGGCTTAAGTAAGCCTACGTAGAACGCTGGGTGTGTGCGCAATTTGCGTGGAAGGTTGAGCGTAAACGCTGGGCTCTTCTTAGCAGTCACCGTAAACGGTCGAATGAAGCGTGGACGCAACTTTGTCTTGAACACAGCAGACACTACATTTGTAGGTAGGTTGTTTGCTCTGAGTAATACTTGGTCTCAGACCTTATAACTTTCAATACAAATTCTGACTCAGGCATCAGCTTACTGTTTTTGTTGATCTTGGCTATCAGCCATTGCGCCACGCACCTGTCGCAGGACACTCAGTCGCGATTCCAAAAAATTGCCTACCTGTTTCGGGACAGTATCATGGCTGATATCAGCAAGCCTATCAGCAACCTCTCCCCCACGAAACCCTGAGCCACAAGGCGGTAGCGTAAATGGAACGCGAGGGTAAGTGAGACCTCTTACGTATAACGGAGTAAAGACTGTGTGTACCGGTGTAGTCCTGTACATTATATAACAACGTTTGGTGTCAATGTGGAGACTGTCCAGCGTGACAATCCCTATAAATATTATCCGAGATGTATACGATTGAAGGAACATTATCCGAGATGGATACTATCCACGCGTTGCCAAAAGACTGTTCGATCAAAGACAAATCAACCAAGATTATTACTCAGCACGCGCGGCAAGACGTGCGTACTGAGTGGTGAGCAGGTTGTCGTCAAACGACAATGTAGATTCATGGAGCTAGATAAAGAATGAAATTATATTAATAGCTTAACTACATTGGAAACAGTTCTTATAGTACGTTTACTCGAAAAAGCTGTTTGTGTAGATTAGCTTCCTCTGTGCGTACTAGTGTGCGTGAAGTTTCGCTCCACCCCAAACAAAGGGTGTCCCGTTACACCTGGTAGCACTTCGTAGTCCATCCAACGACTCTTAAGTGTCCGTCTAACATGAACACGCTCGACGTAGAAGAAGACAGCTTTCACGTCACACGTGAAGGCTACTCCCATCTAAGTGACTCAGAATGGGAGGTAGTCGGCCGCATGAGTGTGCTCATGGGCGAACCCGCTATCAGTGGCATGTTGGAGTCTCTAAGTAGATAACAGCAACATGCTGCTATCAATGAGTTTATGCGCGCATTTCTTGCCGTCCAAAGACAGAAGATAGCCTTGCTACAACAGCAAGGCTCTCATCAGTCGCTGGGCGGGCCGACGCATGTGCGTTGACCCAAAAACTTGAATACAGACATCTCAAGGTGCACATAAAACGATGAAGATTCCACTTAAATGGTTCGTCGAGTAAGACGACGCCATCAGGGCCCATCATACCCAGGGTGACAAGATGAAAGTTTCGTTTTCCCTGTCAAATTTGACAGGACGAGCAAAGACTTGGGCTTCAGGGCTCAAGCTTCACAACCCAAACGCGTTTGAATCGTCGATGGTCTTGAAGTCTTGGCTCAAAGAAACGTGTGAGCCATCAAGGAGCCGATTTCAGAGCACGATCTGCACTCCTAAGTTTCAAACAAGATAAGCGTGATGTGCACGCTTACGCACAGCACCTGCGCTACCTTGCAAGTAGCGTCACGGAAAACCCTGTTAATGATCACACGCTCATCAACGCATCCAATCTACGGCCTTAAAGATTGACCGGTGAAAATCTGCATGCTCCAAGAGAACTTCCACACACTGAAAAAGGCGATAGCGTGTGCGGAACAAGAAGAATTTTGCCTGAGACAGTCTCAGGCTAACTCGTCAAACTATCGTCCAAGGAGAGGACAAGAAACAGGAGTCCTAAACATATGGACCTCTTTTATATCAAGAGTGAGAACTCTCGCTCTCTGAGTCACAAGCGAACGGCAAGATGCCATCGGTGTCAGAAGATCGAACACTACTCTCCTGAGTGTAGTGCTCCAAGCACCGCATCACGTCCGAAGACAGGACGTGATGACCACCGTTGGACGATGACAGGTCCAAGGCGTGGTTCCGACCATGTCGCTAAGCCGCAACAGCAAGTCGGACCGCCAAAATACGGTCAGGGTCAGTAGGGGCTGAGCACCCTGCTGATCCAGCAATGTCCAGAGAATTTGCAGGACTCTTGACGAAGATTGCTCCCAACACACAGTGACTGTGTGGCACGGCTCCTAGTGATGAGGTGTCTCTCATCACAATGAAGATCGAGGTGAAAATTAGAATGTCACTTCGCGCCCTAGTTGACTGTGGGGAGTCCAACAGATTTATTAGACACCAGTCGCTAGAGGATAGTAGCCCAACTATGTTGAGCGAGATCTTCCTCTAACGGGTATGAAGGTGTGCCTTGCTACAGGCACATCCTGTACAGTGAACAAACGTGTAGTGGGAAAGCAGTACGACGTTGACTTTATCGTACTAGATTTGGACGATAAATTCGATGTCATCCTCGGTCTGCCGTGGCTTAGAAAGTACCAGCCATGGATCAGCTGGCAGCATCGATCCTTGAAGATGTCTGTCATTCGTTCATCAGATGGCAATCAATCGAACGTCTTGATGCGTCCACACGCGTGTGGATGTACTACGAGTAAGTTCGATGTCCTCACTTGTGGTACGGTCGATAGTACGATTGCACAAGATCACAGTTTAGAAGGCCACTACACTGTGAAGCCAGCTTCCGGCACCTGTGTAGAGACACAGGCTGCGCCGAAGGCGCAGCCTGTGCTCTTCAATCGAAGAGATCGAGTGGACTGGAACACGGATTGACACCAATAAAGGTGTATCCAAGAACTGAGATGAGTGTTGTTCAGGATGAACAACATGTCACAGCGAGATCAACCAACAGGGAGTCGATCGCAGAGCAAACACGATGGACTAAAAGAGAGTCGATCGAAGAGTATGTGACTGTGGTAGTAGGAACCATCAAAGTCAGTACACGTATTGGAAGAAAGTTACAGCGTTCCTGAGAGTGATAAAGCCCGAGAGAGTTATGTTGAGGGTGTGTTTCCCCACCCACCGGCGGATATGTTTATCTCGGAAAGCACCGAGTAAGTGTCTTGTTGATTGAAAGATCCAGGCTCTTACACACTTGATCCGGTCACACCTCCAAAGTCAGCTTCGGAGGTAATCAAGTTGCCAACGCTAGATTCTAAAAGCTTCTTGCGAGATCTGTGTAGTGACAAGATCAACCAGATCTGCTTACTCGTCACAGAGGAAGAGTACGTCGCCTATATTCGGTCGGCACAAGATTTTACTGAGATCGAACGGGTTCAAAGTAGCTCATTGAAGGATGATAGATATTGTTTTAGATGAGAAGACTCGGATTAAGCGATACACGTCTCCATCTTGGGAGCCTATACAGACAAATCCTTCGCATAAGGATTTGGTCAAAATCAGAAATTCTTTCCCGGCATCCGTGCCAAGCGATCTGCTTAAGAATACAAGCACTCTGCATGAGATCGAAATAGAACCCGGTTCGGAGTACTGTGTCATGAAGCAGTGGCCACTGCCTCGTAAACAAGTACTTGCGATCGACAAGTTCTTTGCCGATCGCTTAGCGGCTGGTCATGTGAGGGAATCAACATCCCCACACATCCCTCCGACCTTCTGTGACTGAAAGGCCACAGGAGTGTTGCAGTTAGTACGCGCTCTCAGCGAATTGAACGCTGCAACGGTACCGGCTCAATCGCTAATACCAAGGAAGGACGTCATCATGGTTGGTGTGTCAAAAACTACCATATTTTCGTCCATGAATCTGATTGATGGATTCTATCAGATCCTCATGCGCGAACGGGACATCCCGTACAAAGCAGTGAGAACCCCCAGTGGTTTGCTCTGGGATTGGCTAGTCATGCCACAGGGGCTAAGTAATTCACCTGCAACGTTCAACAGATGTGCTACGAATCGGTTTCTATTAGTACCCGATTTTGCACCGAGTTACTTTGACGACTTCGTCGTCCATAGCCGGGCTATGGTAGGATAGACGGACGTGTAGGTTCATAGAATCTACGTCCGGAAGGTTCTTACACTTATGCGAAAGCGTAAGTTTGTTCGCGAACACCAAGAAGTCTTTATTAGCAGCGAGAGAAATACCACTTCTTGTCTTCATCGTGGGTAAAAACGGCATACACCCTGACCCGAAGTAGATCAAGCGATTAGCGACTGGTCGGTGTTAGCCGACGCCAAAGGACTTTTAAAGTTCCTTGGCTTAGCGGCGTACTTGCACAAGTATTCCGCGCTACTACGCCGAGATGACCGTACATCTCTCTCGCTTGTCAAAGAAGAACGAGAGGTGGACATGGAGTGCTGAGTCTCAGCATTTCTTCAAAAGCATTAAGAAAAAACTTGACACAACCGTCTGTGTTGGTAATTGCAGAACTGGACAGACCATTACATGTGGGTGGTGACGCCAGAGATCTTGCGATCGGCTGCGCGTTTGATGCAGTACGACTCAGACGACGTAGAGCGCTTCGTCCGTTCTCAACCGCATCAACTGCAAGCAGCTGAGCGTAATTACCCAGTGCATGACAAGGAACTCCTTGCCATTAAAAAATCACTGGCTTAGTTTAGGGTACATCTCTAAGGAGATAGGCCCTTTATCGTTTATACCGACCATGCGTCGTTACGCACGGCCTTTAACAGTCCACACCTCTTGCAACGAATGGCGAGGTGGCTTTCTTTATTCGCGGATTACAACTTATCCGTCGATTATAAACCAGGAAGAATTGATGTCGTCGCTAATGCTCTTTCGCGTCGGACCGATTTGGAACCGACTCCTCGACCCAACAATAGGGGTGATTTCACTGTTGCAACACTATCAGTAAGTGTTCCGTCGTTGAATCTTCTCGAAGACGTGCGGAAAGCAAACACAGTAGATGAGTCTCTTCTGCGATTGATGGATTACGTATCCAATCTGTGCATTCAACATTCGAGAAGATTGACGTCTCAACACCGCTCTTCAACCGAACGGTAATCGGTTTGTGATGGACTACTGTACCATACAGCAGTCATCGGCAACACACCTCGTGTCG